AAAGTGTTCTTCTCCTGTGGAAACAAAATCAAAACCCCTCCCTCAATGTAACACATCTCCTGGTTTTCCAGACTGAGGTCATAACATCCTTAAAATACACTGGTTGGTTCAGTTCAGACTCTTCTCTGTAGTCCAGTGTCTTTCTGCTTCAGTTTGTCCCTTTTCATCAGCATTAAGAAAATTCAAGGTTAGTAAAGCATTATGTAACCTGTGTTTGGGGGTCTTGGTTGCCCCTGGCTGTTTATGAAGTGTCTCTTTTAAGGTTTGGTTAGATCTTTCAATCACTGCTTTTCCTGTGGGATTGTAAGTTATACCAGTTACATGTTTTATATTATAATATTGGAAAAATTGTTCCAATTTACAGGAGATGTGACTACTGAACTCAGTCTTACAGGGTTCCCGCTTCATGAAGAGTCTACGAGACTTTCTGCAGGACAAAGAAAAATGACTTACAGACTGCCAATGCAGATGGACAGTTTGAAATTTCCTGCTTTGCTGAGAAATCTTCTGGACACATTGTGGCCTATGGGCTGAAGATGGATGCCCCAACGTTACAGAGGAACTTCAGGTGACTGTCCAGGCAGTAAGATATCTCTGTTAATCCTAGTGTTTATATATTATCCTTCTGTGGTCTTTGATGGAGTTGAAGACAGAGAGTTATAATTATAGTTTTCCTTAGTTATGATAAAAGATAAGCTACATATAGGACTTTGGACTCACAAGGATGGGATGGATGATATTTTCTTTAAATCTTGCTAAAATATTGTAACTATGTTCTTACTTCATAACTGTTCTGTCATATACAATTTGACTATGTTAAAATTAAGACCTTTCTTTTGTTTAAACAGAAAAGAGGAGATGTTGGGGAAGTCCTGTTATTTGCCTGTGCATTTGTCAATAAAGTACTGTCTGGCCAATAGAAAACCTAGATAGGAGGGACTAGGAGTCGAGGAGGATTCTGGGAAGGGGAAACACAAGAGAGTCAACATGTAATGCCATGGGGGTAGGACGCCGGGAACTATTCTCCGGTAACAAACATACTTAGATTAACAATTATGGGGTAATTACTTAAGGCAGAGCTAGCCAGGAGGGACAAGCAAGGCCAAAAGCTTCATAATTAATATAGCCTCCTGTGTGTTTATTTGGGACTAATGCGGCTCTGGAACCAGGCTGGCGGGATGGCTTCACTCAAGGAAATAGCTTCTCATAACAGGGTAATTACTTAAAGCAGAGCTAGCCATTAAGAGACAAGCAAGGCCAACACCTTCATAATTAATATAGCCTCCTGTGTGTTTATTTGGGACTCATGCTGCTCTTGAACCAGGCTGGAGGGAAGGCTTCAATCAATAGAAAAAGCTTCCCTTTACAGGGGATATTCTTCCATTGTTGGTGGGAGTGCCAACTGGTTCAGCTACTTTGGAAATCATTATGGAGATTCGTCAGAAAAATTGGAATAAACCTACCACAAGAACCAGCAACTCCACTGTTAGGCATATATCCTATAGATGCCCATTCATACAACAAAGATGTCTGTTCCACTATGTTCATAGCAGCATTATTTGTAATAGCCAGAACTTGGAAGCAACCTAGATGTCCCTCAACCGAAGAGTGCACAGAGAAAATGTGGTACATTTACAAGGGAGTACTATTCAGCATAAAACACAATGGAATCCTGATATTCTCAGGCATTTTGATGACATTAGAAGAAACCATCCTGAGTGAGGTAACCCAGTCACAAAAAGAGAACCATGGCATGTACTCTCTCATATATGTATTTTAGACATAGATCTGGGGAGTGGCAGCCTACAATCCGATGGCCAGAGAGTCTGGGAAACAGAAGCTTCATTTAGTGGCTGATCGAAGAAGAGGAATACTCCCTCGGTTAAGTACTGAGCTGAACTCAAGAAAGCCAGTAAGAGAGAGGGAGGACTCATGAGCAAAGGGATTAAGACTGGGCTGGCTGGTGTAACCCCTAGAAACAGCTGACCTGACAAAGGTTAACTCTTGAATCCCAGGTGGGTGTCAGTGAGGAGGCCTAGGTAATCTATTGAGCCTTGGGCAGCAGATCAGGTCCCTTCTCGTGTATACACACGGACTTTGGACTCCCATCCAACAATGTGAGGTGCACTCTCACCCTGAACTCTTGGGGAAGTGTCTAGGCCCTGCCCTATATGAAATGACAGACTATGGATACCCCCATGGAGGGCCTCACACTCCTTGGGGATATGAGGTGATAATGGGGGTTTGGGGGAGGACACAGTAGGAGGGGAGGGAAAGTGAGGGGGACCTGGAACTGACTTGTGAAGCAACCTTGTTCCTTATCTAAATGTAAACTGAAAAATAAAAAAAGACTTAAAAAAGTTATCCAGGTGAAAAAAGTCAAAAGTCTAGATATACCTTGTGAGCAGATCCTAGGATGTATTGACAGTTTCTTGGTGTCACAGTTACTTAGAAAACACTATATCACTGCTTCTCCCGAAGGGCACAAAAATATCTACAAGAGGACAAAGTAGGAGGAGGGGATAGACAAAAGAAGAGAGGATTGTGAAAGGAGTTCTGGGAGAATGTGTAAGGAGGGAAACTGGAAAATCAAACAATTAAATGTAAACTGAACAAATTAAAAATAGCACTAAAGAAGGAATTTGGAGGTTCCCTTCAAATAATTACACCGGTTAACATGTTTCTTCCCATCAATGAGACACAGGGGTTATCATCTGCTCCCGGGAAAGACTGTGGGTATTAGATGTGCATACTGCAGGAGAATTAATATTTTCTTTTAGAATGAACCACAAAGTCTTCTTTAAGATTCTCAGTTTGTGGAATCGGCATGGTTTACCCTAGAAGCTATATGTTGCAAAGAAGTTCTGCCATCAACTGCCCTCATAGATTTTGCATGTTTCCCTTCACATTTTCTCATGATTACATGCTCTTGTGAAGGAAAAATATAGCCAGATTAAAATCAGTTTAGTCTTTAGGACTGAAAGGCTCATTCTGAGATATGCAAATTGTCTCTACCTGTAAGTCTTGACATATATAACTGTTGACTTAGTTGCATAGGGTTAAGGCCTGTGTCTTCACTGGTATTTAATTCTGATTCTTCTCAATAAACACCTAGAAGAGTGACTCTCTACCTTACTAAGGCTGCCACATATTAAAAATTTCCTGGTGTTGTAGTGACATCCATCATAATTACTGTAATTTTGATATTTTATGAAGTGTAATATAAATATTTATAAGTAGAATACCTGAACTAAGACCCCTGTGTTATGATTACATGCCCTCCCTCTCAAAGTGTTGAAACATGTTGATAACCACTGCATTTTAATACTGAATGACACACCCATGACAAAATGGGCAATTTAAACAAAATCTTTGGTTTTACTTTGAGTGTTTGATTAGTATTTCTAACTTTAGAAAACTTCCTATGCAGACAAGGATAACCTTGAACGCCCTGAATAGCAGAGAAAGCCTGACTTTCTTATCCTACTGCTCACAGTTGCCAGATGCAGAGATGGTCATAACATAAGTTGTCATCAAGTAACATCAAGATGTCTCATCAAAATCATCTTCATTCTGTCCTCCCACACTCACAAGTAGAGATCAACATGCCCTTGGGTATATTAAGACCTCAAGAGGAAACAAGGCATATTATGTGTCTACTCCAAAGTTATGTAATCCCCATAATGTCTAGAAATTCGAAAGATTTAAAAGAATAAACCATCCCCAAAGACAATTTAGGAAAATTTAATGTTGAAATCTTTTGAGCATAAATCCCCCCATAATATTTCATGAGGAAAAATAAAAGACTGGAGAATGCATCATATGAAAATACATTAAAGAGTTAAATGCTGGGTCACAAGGATTACCAACCAAAAAAAAGTTCAATGTGAAAATGCACAAGTTGTGTTGTTATTTGAAGCCATTCTTAACTTTAATAAATTGAAGCAACCTGGATGCTTGCTCTAAGGCTGCTCCAAGCAACATTTAAAACAGGGGATGTCCTGATTCATCCACAACATAACTTCAGTATGCTTGGTCTATGTGCAGCCTTAAATGGGAAATTTAAAAACATACACAACTCCAAATACATCTGTCAGGCAAAGCACAGAATCCTGTTTCATAAAATGGCTATTATTACCTTCTCTTTTCTTTATAATATTGACTTATTATTGCATTAGGCCAGCATCCATACACCTACCTGTATGCCCTAAGTTTCTAGGGTTCTTAGTTTAGAGTTAGGAAGATTATGGTAAGACAATAATCTGTTTCATTATTGTCTTACCAGAATACCTCAGCATAACTTTCAGCAGCTGAAGCTTTTCTTCTATGAAACAACACTGTCTAGTGATAAGAGGCACATAGGTGAATATTAATCAGGATGGCTCTGAGATTAATACCCTTAAATGCAAGTCTAAGACTTAGTTTTGAAACCACACTTTTGTAGAAGAATTTACATGGAATGTCAGGTCACTGTCATGGACACCTGTCCCAAAAGATGCTGGTGACTGAAGAATGTTTGATATCAGTCAGTACACACATATTGGTGGATGATTTCAATTTCCCAATGTAAATGAATACTAACTCCTGTGTTATCACTTCCTGATATGAATTTAAGAAAAAAAAACAAAATTTCAGAAAATCACACACACACACACACAAACAAGCAAACAAACACACACACACACACACACAGACACACACACCGAATGCAAAATACAATAGCAAGACATTTGTATTCAAATTCCATTTATTTATTGAATATATGCTAGACAAAATTCAAAAGAGAGATTTGGATTTACACACGTTAGAAAAATGAAAAAAAGTCTCATCTGGTATGCTGGCAAATGGCAATGAGATGTGACTACAGATGGGTCAATTCAGAAGTCACATGCCACAACTTTAATGGTTTCTTGATTTGTAGAGGCTGCAAGCTTCTTCCTGTGGCAGACAACATACTAAGCCTGTAGCAGAGCTAAACGCTGGTGAGCATGGTCCATTGTTCATTCTGATTTATGGCAAAGCCTCCTATGCCGGTGGTATGTGGATGACTGGCGGAAGCTATGGTTACATAGGGAGCATGTATAGGGCTTCTCTCCTGTATGAATCCTCTCATGAGCAATCAGATTTGTTGTATGGCTAAATGACTGTCCACATGTATTGCATGCAAAAGGTTTCTTTCCCTTGTGTATGACTGAATGGACGTTTAGGTCTGATTTAGTATAGAAGTCCTTATGACACGTGTTACAGACAAAGGTTCTCTCCTTCTTGTGTCTTCTTTGGTGGGATAAAAGACTGGAGGGATATTTGAATGTTCTGGGACATTCCCCACACTGGTATGTCTTTGGGACTCTGTTGTGTCTCTCTTGGTGACTCTCACATGTGTAGTCTCTCTCAGAATTCTGGCAATCTTCATTCTGCTGTGGCCTGGTGATCATCTCTGATTGTAGCTGCTCCGCAGGAACCATAATGTCTTGTTGCACTTCCTCCTTGGGGACAACTTCAAACGAATCTTCCCTTTGAGAAAATCCATGGTACATGGAGGTCAATTGATTTGAACTTCTATAATCCTGAGGGATTACATCAGAAACATCTTTCTCCTCAGTCTGGAGACATCTATGTGTTTGGATCATGGAAATGGAATCCATCTCAATGCCAGGACTCCTCTCCCTGCTATTTACTTTACTGAGGTTCATCGGATTGTTATAACCATCTTCACTGTCTTTATGTCCTGTTGAAAATCCACAGTCCATGAAAGTGGGCATAAGAAGGGGTTTCTGCCCAACAACACTCCTCTGTGAAACTTCCTGACACTCATGTATTGGCGATAATATATTTAAGGGGATCGGCAAATCTGTCCTTGCAGATGTTGTTGATGATTTCATTCCCTTCAGAATATTGATTACTTCATTCAATGTCATATGCCCCGGAAAGAGGCCTTCCTCTCCATGCATGGATACGTGAATCTGAAAAAAAAAGTACCAGATGACAATAATCATTGACTCCGGAGATCATAGAAAACCTGCCCTTCAGCTGATTCCAAGTCTCTCCCCTCATGGTGTTATCCTGACAGTCACAATTAATGTTCTCTAAAGTAACTATTCTCACTGCATTTGCAAGTGTTGTTTTTTTTCACAGGGGAAAGATAAGATGTGGTATGTCTTCTGTCTGTCTACAACATTTCCTTGAAATGATCAGTGCTTTGGATGATAACAGATGAGAATTGTACAATTTGAAAAAATTGACATCATATCAATTAAGAAATACTTGTCATTCTTCCAAGGATTGTCCCCATCTCACCCAAACAATTTCAACAATAACAAGGTGAGCAAGTGGCTCAATGAAAAGACATCAAGTCTGGCAAGGACACGCAACCAAAATGTCTGGAGCAAGGAAGTGCCAAAGGAGCCTCTAAAACTCTACGGAAGCCTTGCCAGTGTCTCTACCAAACCTTTTGCCAATTTAAGTGAGGTGTCTGCTGTAATAATGTTTTCACTGATAAACAACAAAAACAAAGTTGTATTGCTAGTCTTTAATAGTATCTACTTCATCTGTCCCTCATTACTTTCACTCTTTCTGTGGCACCCAGAATATGAGGCTACTGCTTTTACCCAGAGCCTCAGTATATTCTCTATATTCTTTCTATGAGTAGAGGCTGCTACTCTAGATGACGTTCTAAATTTAGCATTCAAACTCTGATTTGTTCAATTTTCTATGGAATCCTTTGGATGTCGACAATAATTCTGCAATAGATGCCA